AGCGCCGAATGGATTGGTATAGTGCCAACTGGGTGGATTCAGTGCCAAATGGGTGATTTAGTGCCAACTGGGTTGATTCAGTGCCAAATGGGTGATTTAGCGCCGAATGGATTGGTATAGTGCCAAATGGGTGATTTAGCGCCGAATGGATTGGTATAGTGCCAAATAGGTTGATTCAGTGCCAAATGGGTATTTCAGTGCCAAATGGATTCAGTCCAGCTCAAAATAAAACGGATCTAGCACCAAACAAGTTGATCTATCACAAAATGAATTGGGTCCAGCACAAATGGATTGGGTCCGGCGCAAAACGGATTGGTCCGAAATGGGTTATCGCAGAATTAATCGGAACCAGCACAAAATGGGGTGTGCCGGATTTCTCAGACACTCGCAGCAGGCAAACTGAACAATAGAGCCAGGCGTGTTTTTGCTTCGTGTTTCAACTGCAGTTGATCGGAAACGTGGCACAGGTAGGGCTAGCAACGGTAGGGCCAGAAACGGCAGGGCTGTCGTGGTGGGCTCGGACTCGACGGTGCGGCCTGCACACAGCAGGCCAGTCCGTGATGCTCCGCAACGGGGCACGTGACCAAAGAATATCACGTGACCAGGCATTATCATGCGATCGGTCACGTGCCCCTGGCTGCCGCCGCGCGTCTGCTGCGCGCGTATCAGCCGGCAGCGCGTGCATGGCCGCGCAATCAGACCGCCAAATCGCGCGATGCGCAAGACGGCACCGCGGCGCCCGTTAAAGCAGCCGCCCACCAAACCCCCCCTGCTTGTCCTCGGGCGCCTGCTCCGGCAGCCACGGCCAGAAAAGAAATGTCCGCCCCTTCTTTCCAAACTCTGCCGCCCCTCCTTCCCGAACCCGCGCCGCCTCGGGATTCCAGGTCCTAAACCCCCGCATGCGCCTGCCCAAAGCGGCGCGCATATCGCGTGCGCATTTCCGCTTGCGGAAGTATAAGAGGGCACAGCAGGCCCTGCCCCAATCTCTCAAGCACCCAGCGCACGCCATTCCACGACTTCTGGCACTTCAAAAAACACCCATAGAATAAACAGAATATGCTCAGGCCCCGCGGATTCACAGCCCTCCCCCGCGCGTGGCCTTCCCGCGCAGCCTCGTCGTCCGTAGCTGCGGCATACTACCCCTCCGAGCCCGTTGCACCCAGCCTCGTCACGGCCTCAGTGCCTGGCCCCAAAAGCATCGAGCTCAACCAGCACTTGGGCGCCGTGTTCGACAACCGCGCGTCGTACTTTGTCACGGACTACGGCCGCTCCGTGGGGAACTACATCTCCGACGCCGACGGCAACCAGTTGTTGGACGTGTACTGCCAGATCTCGTCCATCGCCTTGGGCTACAACAACCCCGCGTTGCTCGCCACGGCCGCGTCCCCACAAATGGCCAGCGCCCTCGTCAACCGGCCCGCATTGGCGTGTTTCCCGCCGGCCGACTACGGCCGGATCTTGCAGGACGGGCTCTTGGCCGCCGCGCCCCCCGGCACCAACAAGGTGTGGACGGCGCTTTCCGGCTCGTGCGCCAACGAAACCGCGTACAAGGCCGCGTTCATGTACCAGGCGGCGCGGCGGCGCGGCTCGCTGGACTTCACGGACGAGGAGTTGACGTCGGCCATGGAAAACCAGCCGCCGGGCGCGCCCGACAGGGCCATCTTGTCCTTCGACAAGGGCTTCCACGGCCGCTTGTTCGGGTCGTTGTCCACGACACGGTCCAAGCCCATCCACAAGTTGGACATTCCGGCGTTCAACTGGCCCAAGGCGCCGTTCCCGGCGTTGCAGTACCCGTTGGCCGAGCACGTGCGCGAGAACGCCGAGGAGGAGGCGCGGTGCTTGGCCGAGTTCGAGCGCATCGTGCGGCTGCACCCGCCCCACTCCATCGCGGCCATCGTGGTGGAGCCCGTGCAGGCGGAGGGCGGCGACAACCACGCGTCGCCCGCGTTCTTCCAGGGCTTGCGCGCCTTGACCTTGGAGCACGACATCCTCATGATTGTCGACGAGGTGCAGACCGGCGTGGGCGCCTGCGGCAAGTTCTGGGCCCACGAGCACTGGGACTTGGCCGTGCCGCCGGACATGGTCACGTTCTCCAAGAAGTTCCAGGCCGCGGGCTTCTACTTCTCCGACCCGGCCTTGCAGCCGGCACAGCCCTACCGCCAGTTCAACACCTGGTGCGGCGACCCCTCCAAGGCGCTCCTTGCACGCACCATCTACCAGGAGATCACGCGGCACGACCTCGTGGCCCGCACCGCGCAGGTCGGCGCCTACTTATACGGGCAGATGGAGCAGATGTTTGCGAGGCACCCGGCCGCGGTGCACAGCTTGCGGGGCGAGAACTTCGGCACGTTCATAGCGTGGAGCTGCGAAAACCCGGCCAAGCGCAACGAGTTGTTGATGCGCATGCGGTCCGTGGGCGTGAACATCGGCGGCTGCGGCAACCACAGCGTGCGCTTGCGGCCGTCGCTTGTGTTTGAGCGGGCCCACGCGGACGTGTTTTTGGAGGCGCTCGAGTACTCGTTGCGGGCGCTCTAGGCCAATGGTCCGGAGAGGGTCCGGAGGATGGCCCTGGAGAATGTCTGGAGAATGTCTGGAGAATTTCGGGAGAATTGTGTCGGGAGAAATTCTGTAGAACTTCTGGAGGATTTCCGGGGAACTTCTGGAGAATTGTGTCTGGAGAATTTCGGGTAAATTTCTGGAGAAATGGCCCTGGAGGATTTCTGGAGAATGGCCCTGGAGAATGTCTGGAGAATGTCTGGAGAATTTCGG